AACAGGCACGTTCTAACGTTGTCTGGCTTAGAATTGCCATCCTCTTTTCGCAGGACAACCAGAAATTCTATGATGCCTTAACTCAAGAATGTTGAACTAGCACAATAAAGGACATCGGTATACTAAATGCTATTAGTTTCCAGTTGCACCAATATATAAGCTTACGCCCCAAAAAGGCAAGGAAAAGAATGCATTAAAGAAACCTAAGCTAGAGTAAATTTCTTGGAAAATATCCTCTATAATGGAAGAAATTAAAATCAGAAATCGCAGCAAGAGAAAAGAACATACTGATCCATACCACAGAGCATGATATACAGTTCCACAAGAACCTGCAATTTGGAAAAGGAAACGGTTATGTGAATAGGAAATGAAGTCACGGGTATAGCATAGAAGGCATAATAACCATTGTTAACTTGATATTTGGGTTTGCAAGCATAGGCATAATAAATTATGAGAGCTCTAGAAAGAAACGAACAGAATTTCAAACATAGAGTAAATTTTTCTCTTAAGGCATAGATGTTTTCAAAAGATTATGTTCTCAAGTTTGCCCCACTAGTTAAGAGTGTCTCACCTTGCCCAATTTGTTCTCCAATTGTCAGGTCCTCCCACAAAATTTCATAATCCAAGCAATCAGTGTCCACATCCACTTTATTATTGACAGCACAACTGCCAGCACTCCCACAGCTGCTGGCACTGCTTGTGCTGTTAACATTAAAGGAGGACCAGGATCCTGAAACTTCACTGTTATTAGGGCGATTACTTTCACCTCCCTGGCTTTCTTGCTTCAAGCTAGAAGACAGAATCTTCTGATTAACTGATTCATTTTCTCGATCATTCTGTCTCCAGGGCCCAGTAACTCGAACATTGGTTCCCTCTGATCCATCTGAACCTTCTCGGTCCTTTGTTCTCCATGGCCATGATAATGTTTTCCTTTGAATCCAGGCTTCAGCCTTAGCAGGTATGATTTTGTGAATAGATTTTCCTTCACTCTCGTCACCAGACCCTCTCGAAGATTTTCCCTGGGACTTTTCTTCGCCGTGAGAAAGCACACCAAAATGGGACGGTGCCACCTCACCTCTGGGGGTGCTAGCTCCACTGGAATTAGCATCCTCTCTCTGGTCCGAAAGAACAGATTCCGACAAACTATGCTCAGAATGATGACTTTCACCACTTCCAACTTCACGATCCACATTATTTTCTCCCGTCCAGATCCTTGACTTTACTTTGTTACTCACCTTTGATGCCTGTTTAATGATTAAAGATGTCAAGAGTCGAGGCACACCACTGTATACTAAAATTACAGAATCAAAAAAGTTATGTCACAAACCAAATTTGAAATTTTCGACGCAAGAGCAACTTGAAGTGGCTGCTGAGTATCAATGCCAAGTTTATTCGTAATGCTACTTCTAGATCGAGTTCCGCCTGAGTCCAAATCTAACTCAGTGTTCCTTACACCAGACATCGGAACTTTCATTTCAAGAAAAGGCCGTGAATCACAAGAGACACAAATTATCCCAACTAAGCTTCCATCATCATCATAGAAAGGTGTATTAGTCGCTACAGCTATGAACTTCTCTCCCATCTTATTCTTGACCGGAAATTGCCCCGTCCAGTTCTCTCCCATCATTACACGGTTAACTGTATCATTGGCCATGCCCAAATCCCTAGGGTCTACAAGCAGCTCAATCCCATCCCGCCCTAAAGCTTCCTCTGCAGTATAACCATACAGATTTTCCGCACTACGGTTCCTGCAAAATTTTCCCCAACCACATTTTTGTTTTCTCAAAACAAGGTCTTAATATAGGTTCCCCGAATTAACGCAATCAGCACCATACAACATCACATGCTCAACAGTAAACAATATATATCAAACATTAAAACACAGCCAGCACATCCATTTTCCAGCAAAGAACTAATCACAAGTATTTATAGTAAGAAGCTTTTCCCTAAGTATTCACAGAAAAGGAAAATCATCCGACTTTCTCTCATGCACTAAAATTAACTCGTGCATTTCATTTTGAAAAGGTTAAATGAGAAAGTTGCTATAAAAGTCAATACATTCATATATTCCACATCTTCGTTAACTATCACCGTTACAGAATAGAAAAATTACACAGAATTTAATAGCAAAACAAATAAAAAAACGCGATACGCATTGAGACAAAGACTGACCAGTATATTATGCGACAGTTAAGATCCAATATATGAACAGACTGTCCCATTGACTGCAAAATATTAAGATACTGCCGTTCAGTGAAATTCACGGCGGAAGGGCCACGGCGCGGAGTAGCACCTTCTCCTTCTCCTTCTCCTCCACCTCCTCCGCCGCCGCCGTGAATTTGAGGATCGCCGCCGCCGCGGCTCTCTCTCTGCAGCGGCGAGGATTGTTTGAAGGAACACGAACCTCTCTTCCACGCAGCTGCCGGCGCATCAGTCCGCCTCCTCGGCGGAGCGCCCAATCTGGAACGCTGCGGAGAGACGGAGTGCGACCTCTGGCGATGTCCATGCCTCACATCGGAGAGTTTGAGCTTTGACATTTCTTGCTTCAAGTGCGCGTGTCCTTCTTCTAACTGTTGGATCTTCTTCACGAGTTCATCCGGTGGTGGAGTTCCCATTGCAACAACAATCACAATCACAATCGCAATCACAAACACAAACACACGCTATTGCTATCGTCCTCTTCAGATATGTTTATTTTATCCACTAACAACAAGCAACCGCAACAACAACATTCACCTCCCTTTTCTCTAGAAGCTACCAACACATATAGCTCATAAATAAATTGATTAGACACAGATTGCAATAAATTTTCAATTCAAGTTCAAAGTCTTATCTCTCAACAGAGTCAATACAACATCAAAACAAAAAAAACAAACTCTTCCTTTCTCTATCTCTATTATCTCTACCTATATTCTTCACTCTTACTACTTTTTTTTTTCCTTTTTTTCCTTCTCCTTTGCCTTTGCTTACTCTTACTTCAACTCTTTCTCTTTCCATTCTCTATCTCATCGTTAATATCTGAATCCAGCTATTTGGACCAAAAGAAAGTTATTCATTATTATTACATCATAAAAGTAGACCAAAAAATCCCACTCGCAATCCCGCGCGTGGCAGTAACAGCCCGTTCTCCTTTCGAGTTCTTAGTGTTAGACCAATCCAGGACACACGTGTATCAACTCTCTCCTATGGGTGTGCTTTATGCTCCTAACGTACTCTGTCTTTTTGGTTTAAAAACTTTTGAGTCGCTTCATTCTTATTGGTTCATTCTCACACCAGCGCTTTTTTTTTATTCCATGGAGCATGCTATTTTTTCTCTTCAGGAGGACTCCACTTGTTTTAATTTGGTTCAGACACAATACTGGACACATTTCTTACCTGTTTTTTCCTTGTTAGCAAAATTTGTGATTACTCATCATAAAGTAAAATGAAATGAGACCTCAAATGAGCAAGCAACAAGATATTTTTCTTTATACATTTTTGGGTATGTTCATTGGACTGACACCTTATAATTTAATCTGTTTCTCAGTGTCCATAAAAATAATAACGTACATTTGATATTTTTAATATATTAAATATAATTTAATAAGTGTAAGTATACTTCAACCATGCAATACACATATTATGATAACATAAAAAAATTAAAAGACAAAAACTATTTTTTCTAAGTTAAGACTCTATTTTTATATTATTTATTTATTTTCAGTTGTGTTAGTAAAATAAAAGTATAAATCTTTTTAAGATATTAAAAATATATAGCCGTCACTGAACTAGTTAAGTATTATCAGAGCGTTCCTAAAAGTAAATCACCACTTTTTTGCCTTAAACAGTCTAAATCAGATATATTCTGTATTTACTTTCCAAAATCAAGATAGGAAAAACTAACTCTTTGTTTTTCCAATTGAATGGTTTACTGTAACTTTTGTAAGAGTGGCCAAGAATTTTGTTTCTTATTATTGAATTTATATTCTTATATATTACTTTATAATTTTAATTATTCTTGTATGAGTTGCTTTACAACTCCTTTTTTTTCTCTTCTATTTTATTTTAGTTATTGGAGAAATTCTTTAAATTTTTGAACTTGTAAGAACTTCAAATTAGTATTTTTCTATTGTTAGTATGTGACAATAGATGGGTAAGTAATCATTTTAAATGTTACACGTAAATAAAATTAATTTGATGAAGATAAAAATAAAAATTTAAAATAAAAAACATTAATTAGATCATAATTGAAGAATTAAGAATTAAAAATATGAAAAATTGTATGACATTTTATTAGAATTTGTAATAGTAAAAAATATTTCTGTATGAAAATCCTTATAACTTTATTATCTTCTTAATACTGTATGATTAAATTCTTAGACAATTGGTTTCTTGAATATAAATAAGTGCATACAGACAACTTTAGGAGGCTTGAAAAATAGAAAGAATATAGAAGAATCAGGCTATCCTATCCCACGGAGGAGGGGAAATATAAGAATCATTATTTCAAATTTTGCAAGTGTTCATTGTAATACGAAAATAAAATACATGAAAGAAAAAGAAAAGTGAAATATATCATTTGACCAATCAAAAATAAATATATAGAATAAAGATAAAGTTAAAGTTACTTTTCAACAACGTTTGAAAGTTTGCTTTGGTGTAAAATAGAAAATAGAAAAATTTATGTGATTGAAATAAATTATTAAGATTAACAGTGTACTAATTAAAATAGTTTTTGACCTGCATCAGTGTAAGATTTAGAGCTTAAGACTAAAATTCAAAGCCAGGCTTTTGAAATACTGTTTGTTTATTTTCTTCAACTACATTTATTGGACCAAACAAATGTTGAAGTAAAAATAATTGGGGCATCTTTTCATGTTCTACTTAGAGTCGTTATTAGCATAAATAAACACACAAGATTACGATTATCAGAATTTTTAACAAAATAGCAGAGTGATGCACGAATGCACAAGGACTTGGTGACCAATTTTGTTTGGAGCCATGGTAGAATAGAGACCATCTTCATCAAGAGCAAGAAGAATAATTTTAATTTAACTAAGTTATTTCTTAAATTAATTTTTAATACAACTTATAAACAGCTAGATACCAATAAGCCCCCCGTACACTAGTCTAACAACTAAAAAACAAAATCATTCCAGCATTGATGCATGATTTCCCGAAAAACAGCTTATCTGAAGCATAGCAAAGTTCTTTCAGCAATACAGAACCCCTCATTTTGTGTACAGAACATCTTCCCATGGATGGCGGTAGAGTGGCTGTTTCAATCTCTTTTGGTCAAAGGTATGCCTGAAAAGATGAATTAATAAAAATGAATTAATTTTAAGTCTTGAATGCTGTATCTGTAACACAAACTTTAGATGTCAAAATCCAATGAAATTACGAGTTTTGACAGTGGGAATGGTTGAAATTTGTGTGTGTATACCCAAAAATGATATCTCTTATTTACTAGAAAAAAGAAATAATAAACGCTCTTACTGACAGATAAATACGATAAAAATGAAGCTCTTTCTGACAAATAAAGACAATCAAAACGAAACTCACCCTATCAGACCAATGGAGCGTGCCAAAACAAAAAGCCCATTCAGATAGCCAATTCCCACAATTTCGTCAACCTCTTGTTTGGTGAACATTCCGCTACCAGCTAGGAGATCCAAGAAAAGCGACCCAATTGCACCATCGACGTTTAAAACTAGATTATTTGCCTTGGTGAGGGTGTAGTTTTCAACTTCAACAGCATACTCCATGTATTTCACAGATGGAAAATGTGTGCGTGCAAACTTTTGTAGCAGCTCGACTCTCTTATCTTTGTTATCCCTATTCTTGATTCTAGTTTATAGAACAAAACCAAAATTTACATTTAGATCTTCGTAGAAACAAAACCAAATAGAAAAAAATAGTAAATGAACACACTACCTGTGCCCTATTCCAGGAACACGGATGCCCTTCTTCTTCATACTTTCAACAAATTCATAAGGTGTAAGATTCTGTAACAAGAAAATGTGCGGTATGGCATGTTAAAACAATAAATGGATAGCTAGCTTCACGGGAAAAGCCTATTAATCATACCCTGTCATAAGCATCCTTAAAATGCCGTGCAGCATCATCAATGGCACCCCCAAATCGAGGACCAATTGTAAGCAAGCCTGTTATAAACCAAGAATGCCAAATGAAAAATATTAGAGACGATTGAAAGGAAATATTAGTGCACAGACACGGTTACTCAGATAACAAACATACTTCGGCAGTAGAAAGACTAGAGGCCAGTATTTACCCGATACAAGACAGGAGACAAGGTCTTTTCCAGCCCTTGCTGTTACTATAGAATTGTGAGCACCAGAGACACAAGGACCGTGGTCAGCACACAGCATGATACATATCTGATATCACCAATGTAAAGCATCAGAAAAATATAAGCTAGAAGATGATATCAATATTTTACTCAAAAACCAATACCTATATGAAATGCGAATAGTGCAATAATAGTCTTAAAAAAGAGCATGAGCATAGACAGTTTCACATGCCTAAGGTAGACAACGCATAAAAAGAAAGGGAGAACTAGATTTTATGAAAGCTCAGCAAACTGGAATGTGAATAGTATACCTCAATAAATTGAGTACAGTAACGGGGAAGGCTACGTTTGAACCACAAAAGAGAGATAACATCCCCCACACCATAACCATTTTCAATAATGGTAGACTTGGGTACACCAGCATAGCAGGGCTCCTCACCTTTGGAAAATAATGGAAGAGAAGTTTGATTTACCTATAAAATATGTCCTTGGGACACCTCATTTCCATGTTACAATTGACAAACTTGATGGATCCCAACATACCTCTGTCATCAGAGATGGTGGAAATAATGTGAGTTGGAGAACGTACTTTTCCACTCTTAATTGCAATGTTAAGGTCCTCAGGAATTGGTGGAGGAGTAAACTCTTTAATAGGTGTGATCTTTCCTTCTCCAACCTAGCAAAAGAAAAACCAACCACGATAGTCAGGCTAATCTAGAAAACTGACAACTTCTTTAAAGCATTGCTCCTTATGGGAGATGGAACAAGGAAAAAAACAGTTATGAAGATAAAATTTTCAAGATAAACTAACCAGTTTGTCATATGTTTCCTTTATTGCAGCTTCAAAAGCCTCATATGAAGTGGGAACAACAGCTCCAGCGTCTTTTAGTGCCTGATTCTTTGCTTGAGCAGACTCCATGTCACTGCCACTTTTTGCTCCCTAATTTATAAATTTGCCAATGGACATCAGGAATTTGCCTCCCATGTTATAAATAGAACTGAGAATTAGTCAAAAATAACGAGCCAGTGACATACAGCATGACCAAATTGTACTTCAGATTTGAAGAGTCTTGCACAGGTTCCGCTAACCCAGGCAACGACTGGCTTTGTCACTTTCCCTTGTTTTAGGGCTTCCACCAGAGAATACTCATCTCGCCCACCAAGCTCACCAAGTACTACTATCATTTTAACCTACGGTTTGATGTAAATACAGACTGATCATTCACAGGAAAATTATAGGCTCCAAATTCTTCACAGTTCTTTATGAGTTTCAGATGTTATGTACTGTAACCAAGATGAAAATGAAATTTTACCTGTGGTATGTTGTTAAACCGCAAAACATGGTCAGAGAGTGTGGAACCTGGGAAAACATCTCCGCCAATGGCAATGCCTGAAGCAAGACAAAAGATTAAAAATATAATTCAAAACTATCGTTAAAGAAATACAGCAACATACACCCTGGCAGTACCTTCATAAATTCCATCAGTCACACGGGCAATAGTGTTGTATAATTCATTTGACATCCCACCCTGCAATTCAATAGTTTTTTCTTCTCTCAACCATTGGTGTATACATAATAAGACAACGCCAAAAGAAATAGAGCTCAAATTCCAAATTTCTTAGCTGTTTGGTAATCAAACATTGGATAACAGTAATTTTACTATCAAAATGCTAGCACATCATTTTAGCTGTACTAGCCGGTGCTATTACTTAACAACAGAAAGGGGGTCGTAGTGATGTTACAGAATCCTATCAAACAGGTTTACTACTACCAATTTTCACTGTTATGCAGAACTGCACTTCAATATTAATTGATTCATCACTCCACAACCATAATTTCCACTCTGAAATCTACAAGACTATGCTCACGAATACATTGATAGAAAAGCATCTCCTCCTTTCAAAGTAGTACTAGATATAATATCATATCCTTAACAAGAGAAAAGTGAGATGGAACAACACTATGCCATGAACTGGAAAATAAAAAATCTACATACAGATTTAGAAACAAATCCAACAGATCCAGGCCGGTAGAGCTTGCACTGAATTATGTTCTCAATTGTTCCAGCAGTGTCACCTATCTTAAAACTACCAGCTTGAATTCCTCCGACAGTGGCTGGACCAATAACAACCTAGCACAACATCATCACTAAAATTAGTATTTCCAACCTATTCTATTTAGCTACGAAGTTTTCTTATTTAATTTGATTTCCATTTCTTCTCTCACCTTATTGTTTGCCCGGGCATACGCTATCAATTGCTTAGTGTCTGACTCAGGGACGCCTTCAGCAATAATAGCAATAACTCTAATTGTCGGCTGCTTTAAAGCAGACATGGATGATGCAGCCGCACTGCAAGTATATCAAACTATTATCGTGATACCATGCAATAAGATAGTCCTGGACTCAAAAAGAACAGCCATGAATACCAACCTTCTAAACGATGCAAAATTGATGAACACATCAGCAGTAGGGTGTGCAGCACAAGCTGCTTCAATACTGAAAAATAAGTCAAACATAAACTTACAGAAACGAGAATTTCCTTTCATTACAGGTTACTTGGTATTCCAGCGGCATGTCCAAGCAGTAAAGAGACCACAAAAATGAAGGGAGGAAAAGAAAACTCTTAACCATGTTTGGTTCACCAAGTCCAAATTTTAAGCCAAAAAGAGACAATTTGTGAATCATGAAACACATACTCAGCATGAACTGGGATTGCAATTTCCTCCTGACCAAAAAAGAGTTTTTGAAATCCCTCCGAACCAGGATTAATAATTCCAGCAACTGATGGTGTTTCTCTACCTGCCAATAAAATAATTGGAACTTTCATTAATAAAAAAAACACATTAATGTAGCTCCACAATTTGCTACTGTAAGTCTCGAATTGTAATAAGGAATTAAAATGATAAAATTGATGATGCACACCACAAAGAAAGTCAAAGTCAAGCATCCGTTGGATGGGAAGTTGCTTGTAGTTGTAAAACAAAGCTTGTGTAGTACGCGAGAATAGTTGTCCAGCGGCCATGACGAAGAAACAGATGGATCTGATAACATACACTAATGCATTATATTGCAGAAGAAGCTAGGTACAATATAAACCAATATTTGACATGTAAAATTCCCTCAAAATCACCTATAGATATCGAAATCTCTCTCCAGGATTCAGTATCAATCAACTATTTAATTTTAAGCAGAAAGACAGATAAATTATTTAAGATATATCGATTAAAAATAACCACAACCCTCGAATAACTTACTGACACTTCAGCCTAATAGTTATACTATATAACAGCTCTAGGATCACAGGACTGATTAACAAAACATAATAAGCAGATCAACCAGATTCGTGATGCGCAAAATTCCACGTGTCATGCATGTCATGAATTATCATCAAACACACGCACGGCAAAGGAATAGAGCAAACAAACCAGTATGTGAAACCTCTTAAACTTCAAAAGCAAGAAAAGAAACCACTGAGCTTACGAAGAAAAACAACACTCGTTCCTAACTCTAATATAACCTCAGAAAAGGAAACGCAACAATGCATCATTAAATTCCTAACTTACAAGAAAAGGAAACAGATTAACGAAGAACCAAATTTGTCAAAGGAGTGAGTAAATGAGACTGAAAGCCTAACCGAGTCTTGAACCACCACCAAACAGCTACCCTGACAAGATGGACGTGACGTTAGGCATTAAGTTTGAATAAAAAAAAAGTATAAAATATAATGCTGATCCAACGTAATTACTGCAACTCGCCAGATCCGAAATTCCGATTCCACATAATTAGACAAAAACATTAAAAACAAGATGATATCGTCATGTGCATGCTGTCTGTTTTGAAATTGGGGAAAGAAAGAACGAAGAGAGAAATGAAATTGAAGCAGAATGGGGAACAGCGAAGAGAGAAATATGATGAGATTGGTGAAGTGATAATGGAAGGAAATGATGAAAGGAGATCTGAGATTGAAAGAGAAAGTGTACCTAAATGGAGTAAGCTGCTAGAATTTAGGATGAATGCTGTGCAAGAGACGATATAAGTTTTATATATAATGAAATGAATGAGAGTGGTCACGTGAGAGTGATATTTGGCTTAGCTCATGGGTCAGCATTATTATGATTTGTTAAAACCTCATCCACATACATACATTCTCATTGTCCAATTTCCATAACTCTCTCTCACAGTCTGTGTTTTGCGAAACAGAAGGTGGGGTGAGCACTGGCAGTATTGGTCATTGGAGAAGGAGGCGGTAACCGGTTATGTTATCTTATGTTATCTAATGTGCGTGGTGAATCACACCCCCACTTTTATCTCTTCTTTTTTATTTTTTATTTTAGGTTTTAACTTTAAATAGAAACAACGTACATTGGAGTGACGAAACCTTTTTATATTACAAAGTTATCACATCAGTTTCGACTTTTATATTATTTTTAGGAAAATGTTATTTGGACAACAAAAGTTTGACACAATTTTGACAACGGCGATGTGGCAGCTGTGCATTGGCTCAGTGAACCGGGTTGAGGGGTATTTTGGGTTTTTTCTGGTTTGTTTTCAATTCACTGAGCCAATGCACAGCTGCCACGTCGCCGTTGTCAAAATTGTGTCAAACTTTTGTTGTCCAAATAACATTTTCCTTATTTTTAACTCATCTTCCTTTTTTAATAAATGTTAGCGAAGACACACGCAACTATCTTTACTTTTTATATGATGATAAAAAATAAAAAATTTATTATTATTGTTATTATTATAATTATGAAATTAAATATAAATCATTTTTTTACTGTGAATAGTTTTATTATTTTAGGTAGTTTTATAATAAAAAGTATTAAGTTTAAAAAATGTTTATAGAAATGATAAAATTATAAAATAGTTATTTTAATTTTAAAAAATTATTTAAAGAGTAAATTTTAAAAACAATTACCGAGAGAAGATAGGAATTTCTTTAAGAAGAAAAAAAAAGAAGAGAACACAGTAAATAATTAAGACTAATTTATGTGTTTTATTCTTTAAAAGAAAAGTCTTATTTATAACATAATATAATTCAAGGATTATCAATAGTTAATATAAGTAGTTAAATATTAGTAATTAATGAATTATATGCGTAATTAATTAATCAATTATGAAAATTGTAACAAGTTAATAGTCAATCATTTATTAATAACATGTCTTCTTCTTCATTAATCAAGTTTATGCGTTTTTTTTTGTTTACAATAATTATTTCCATGGTATGAACATACGAGAAAATAACAATTAATTCAATGCAAGACGAAAGTAGTAGTGTTAGTTTAGAATCATCCAGTTTTGAAAAACTTTATTATTCTTTTGAAAGAGTGTAATACTATATCTTATAATATGTATATTTATTTTTGGTATTATAGTTATATAACTCTAAAATAATTATATATATATATAAGTACATTTTTCAATCTATATATCAATTAAACAAAATAATTTTATTTTAGTTATTTATATTTTTTAAACAGGGAAATAATTTTAGCTTAAGTGATAGTTAATTATTTAAGTGAAAAAAATTTAGAAGAAAAAAAAACTATCTTGGATGTTTTGTTTTTCAAGTCAAAATTATTTTTTCGGCTGAGCAAACAATGCAAAATTGTAAAAAATAGCAAGAAAAGGAAAATAAATACAAGAATTTCAAATAATTTCGTGTTACAAGTAATTATGAATTCTAATATTTCAAAACTAATCAATAATTTATCATATCACAACTTATTAAAAGAGAAAAAAATTGAATGCAAAACTTAAATGTGCTTCAAAGATTTTTCATAAATAGGACATAAATAGACATAAAGCATTTTTAAAAAAGCTTAAACTTACTTCATATTTATAAACTTTATCTAAAATTATCAAACACTTATAATTAAATCAAGAAAATTCCTAATTAACTTGTCATATGTCATTAAATGAAATCATTTACTTTTGAATATTGAAAATTTTCAACACACAAAATAGAGAACTTATTATTCATATATTTCTTAAATTTATTTAAAGTTATATACATAAACATATTAATTTAAAAAAATATAAACAAAAGTAATTAAAACCTACAATTTATTATAATATCTCATTTTCTAAACCATCCAAATAATAGTAATAATGATATTCACGGTAATTAAAAGATTGCAAAAAAAACTTTATAGACGGAACAATCAAATTCAAAAATGAAAATTGAAAATCAGATTCTCTTTGTTCATAATCATCATCATCACCAAAATGAAATATTTTCATGGATAAGTTAACTCTTATTATCTCAAATTTTATGCTCTTTGGATAATTTTAAAAAAAAATATCTGCAAAGTTAGAGAAGTTTTAATTTCCTCGAAACAAGTCTCATTCACAAACTTGACACACCATTACATGCTGTATTTAGTTAGCTTGAATCTTACTTGCATCCTAAAAATCCAAAAAAAATATATATTCAAGAAATTGGAACAAATACAAATAAAACTTAGTCCAGTGAGTCTGCTTCATAAACTATATACTGAGCTCAAAAGCTTCCAAAAAAATTATATAGCAACATCTAAAGATCAGAGAAAGACAAAAACTTATTTAAGATGGATTTTATTTTACCGTCTCTTCGTGGTCTGAGCAAATAAATGATCTAGTCAGAGAAAAATGAAACATCAATCTAGAAAATGAAAAAAGTATATAAAGCAAGAAAAAAAGAATTTAATCCAGAAAGGAATATTAAATGAAAAAACAATTATATAATTATAAAAATATGTTAAAATTATTCTAAAATATTTGATCTCTCATTCATATAAAGTGATATTTTCTTATATTTTTTAATATTAATAAAAAGTTTAATATATATATATATATATACACACACACACACACACATTTAACCAAACAATATAAACATATCCGATATGTTATCAAATAAGACTTATAAAAAGTTATATAATCGTCAAAAAATATTAAGAATATTAAAAAACGTTAATTATTTATTTATGTGTCATCCAAAATGAAGGAAACATTATTTTTTAACACTTATCTGCAAACAATAACAATTTAAAAACACACATGTTTTCTTTATTCAGATAATTTAATTATAACGTATTTCAAGTGTATATATATAATTCAATTGTAAAATATTATATTATTAAAAAATATTTTGTTAACGACGATGTCAATAACATGTTAAAAGTCTTTTCATTATATCATGATTAAAAAGAAGTGTCATTAAAATTTTGATTTAGATTTTTGTATGTTGATAAAATTGATCTTCGAACCTAAAAATCATGATTATTTCTACCTATAGTGATATAGGAACCCTAATCGTATTAAGTAACAGTAGGTAAAGATTAAAAAAAAAAACTAGAATAATTTATTCAAATTAATTATAAAAAAAAACAGCATTTGTTAAACATGGGGTGATGGTCCAAAGTTGGAGCACAAGAAATTCCAAGTACTTAACCGAGAAGGAAAACAAAATCAAAATCCTGTACTTATAATTTTTCAACTCATCCAAATATCTTTAAATTCTGAAAAAATTGGTGTGGAAAATTTTAACGTATCTAAATATTTAGTTTAAGAAAAAAAAAACCCAACATGTGAAAAAAAAAAAAAAAA